AGAGTAAATGGTAGCAGTTAAAGAAGACTTATAATCAAGGCAGAAGATTGGTTGCTCTGACAAGTGTTTTGTTTAGTGGAGACCAGCAGCGAGGTTCATGCCCAAAAGCCAGGGATTCCTGGAGTCCTCTGCCCCCTCCTAGATACTGAAACTATCCTCAGAAGGTCAAGCAGGATTGATTAGAAATAGGTGACTGCTCTGTTGGGAGCTTCAATAATACCATGTAGTGTCTAAAATGACAGTGCAGGTGCTTGTGGAGCCATCTCCTTTCTGCCATGGCACCTCCTGGTTCCATTTCTGTGCAGACTGTAGCGCTGAGGTTCTCTCCAGAGTTGCTGTGATCATAGAGGTCTAGTGTTAGAGGTAAGGATTTGGATTCTGTGTATGTACAGTCTCATTTCAAGAAGCATTGATATCCAAAATGTGCTGTTTTCTGGCCCAGGTTCCCAGAACACAGGCCGAAGTTCACCACCTCCTGGGTACGTTCCAGAGAGGCAGCAGCGCATTGCTCGGCAGGGTTCCTACACCAGCATAAACAGCGAAGGCGAATTCATCCCAGAAACCAGTGAACAGTGTGTAAGTATGAGCATTAGGGGGAAAAAAACTAAGTCCAGCTCTTAAGGAACTCTCTCGGCCCTCTCACTCCGTAATACTCACTACCTGTAGTTGCATTAGCACCTAGTAGTACTGCTTTGTTCGTTTAAACTACGCTTCAGACTCGTTTGTAGATGTGCAAGTTCAAAGCCTTTGTTGGACTTCCAGAAGCAGTTGCCTTGTGAACCAGGCATTGTCTGTCCACCTCTGAGTGAGCAGTTTTCGTGGGTGTTGCACATGTGCACTCAGGTTTGTGTGACCCTCTTGCCTTTGAAACTGCTTTCTCTATTCAGAGAGTAGGAAGTAAGGCCAAAGGGCGATGTGCAGGTGGAGGCAGCAATGCAGCAGCACCAGCAGAGACTCTCTTGGGATCAAAACACAGCCCAAGACTGACCTAAACTTCGACACCTAAAGCAATGTCTCAAATTTGATCTGTCCTTAATTTCTGTGAGAGGAAAAATGTAGATTCTAAATAGCTTTAGACTCCCCTCTAAGCAAGCAGTGGTGGACTCTGATCCTCCTGCACAACCTCTTAGGCATTAGACTGAACTGATGTTGCCGTGTGATTTCTTCTGTGTTGCAGATGCTGGACCCTTTAAGCAGTGCTGAAAACTCAGTATCAGGAAGCTGCCAGTCCTTGGACAGGTCAGCAGACAGGTACAAATGTACAAGCTGGTAGGAACTTATGTGCTGAAATCGAAATGCCAGTTGTACTTCTGCAAAAGTCTGTTTTCCAGCTCGTAAATTTGCTTGGAGGGAAATAGGAACTTATTTCCTACCTATATCCCAATATATTTCTTGAAGAGAATGAACTGTGTCATAAGAGTGGTTTATTATCTGGTAAAACCAGACACCAACAAACTGGTGCTTCAGTAGCTCTGTGTTATAAATACAGAGTTCTGAAGCATGCCTGGCCTCCGAGAACATCTGGCTGCAGCATCTTGAAATCTCTTTTAGACAAGGCTCTACTTGTTCATTTAAAAAGAGAGAAGAGACAACTATTCTGAGGTTACAGAAATACATCATTACAGTAGATCTCTGTGTCCTGCAAGGTAGAATATTAATACCAAAGGTAAATAAAGGGGCTTTTCCTTGGATGAAGAGTTTGTCGTAGTCTGATGCTCTAGATCTTTTTCTTCCCATTCTTTGCTGTTGGTGGTGTTTGAGGTGTTGGTGGGCAGTTGTAGGTCCTATTAACTTGAATAGCAACTGTGGCTTCCCAGCACCTGGAGTATTGGGTTTCAGCATGTTTTTAAGATTCCTCCAAGCTGATTCCTGCGTAGGCTTTTTTATCAAGCACTGGAGGTTTGGGTTTGTGGCTGTTCGCTTCCTCCGGTTTATGGAGTTACAAGGAAGCACTTACAGTTAACCTGTGAATATGCGCACATTCATTTAGGGGGGAGGGCACTGCTGATTTGTTACCTGTCCTTTCCCTGACCTGAGTGGAGGAGTGGCGGGGGGGGGGGGGGGGGGGGGGGGGGGAAAGCCTTCCTGGTTGTTTGTTGTAGGAGTGGGCATCATCTGGGGAAGCTGCTGTTCTTTGTGTAGGAGGAAAGGAGTCTCACTTGGGAGTCTGGAAGCTCCATCAGGCTTACTCCATTTACACTAGTTAACAAAAATAGAAGTGAAATAACATGGCTTTGGCAATGATTGAGTTTGTGTGATCTCTTAAAAGATGGTAAAGACCTTCTGTCAAACAAGGGGCCATGCTTAGGCTTGCTTGAGGAATCCTGCTTACTAAGGAGAAATGGGAGGGTTATAAGCAATGTCTACCATCAGCTACTGGTAGAGAGGAAAGTGCGCTGAGGTTTTCATGAGAGGAATTCACCCTCGTGGTAGATCACTGGGGGCAATAGTCCCCATTCTCTACTGCCCTGTGAGCAATGTGCTGGAAGTGATACCCTGTTCTGCTCCTTCTCTCCGCCTTGCTTTTAACCTTCCACATCATGTGTCTAAAGGAAGCACTTGGTCTTATACCACAGACTGGGGAGCAGCTGAATAAATGGCACAAACTGAACAGAAAGAACTGTCCACGCTGGGAAATAGTCTGGTTATCTGGGGCTGAGCCTGGCTTAGCTCTGCAGGTGTAGTGTGAAATCATTGCAGGGACATGGATTTGCGACTCACTGCCACTGGTGTGCAGATATGTTAGCTTGTGTTTAAAGTCCGTGTAGGTTTCACTGCAGGAGACAGCAAAACTTACTCTTGCTTTCTTTCTTCACTAGTCCTTCTTTTCGGAAGTCACGGATGTCCAGGGCACAAAGCTTTCCTGATAATAGACAGGAGTTCTCAGGTATGTCAGTGTCCAGTGTAAAGATCCAGACATCTTCTGCTGTTTGCTGGCTCTCCCCTTCACGCTTGCTGAGATTCTATGAATAGAAGAACTGGGGGTATATTGATTGAAAAGTTGTGAAGTTTATTTCCTCTTCCTAAAAAAATCCTGCTCTTACAGCAAAATTGGATGATTAGAACATAGACTTTTTGAAGGAGCCTCACTCCTCTCTTTGCATCTCCTTCCAGACCGTGAGAATCAGATCTATGACAAAGCAGGGAAAGGTGGGACCTACCCTCGGCGCTACAACGTCTCTATGCAGCACAAAGACTACAACGATGGTGAGTTGTTTCCAGACCTTCAGTTCCAGGCTTGAAAAAGAAGGTGAGGCAATGGCAACCTCTAGGAGCAAGTGTAACTCCTAGTCGAAGAGTCTGGAAGTGCCCTCGTCCTTGCAGTTAATGCTGGAGTTAATGCTGCTGTGCATGATGCCACATGGGAGGGACTCTTCATTAGGGACTGTAGTGGTAGGACAAGGGGTAACGGCTTTAAACTTAAACAGGGGAACTTTAGGTTAGATCTAAGGAAGAAGTTCTTCACAGTGAGGGTGGTGAGGCACTGGAATGGGTTGCCCGAGGAAGTTGTGAATGCTCCAACCCTGGAGGTGTTCAAGGCCAGGCTGAACAGAGCCTTGGGTGACATAGTTTAGTGTGTGGTGTCCCTGCTTATGGCAGGGGGTTGGAACTGGATGATCTTAAGATCCTTTCCAACCCAAACCATTCTATGATTTTCACAGCAAGCCACGATGGCTGTTTGTAATTCTTTGCTGGTTTGTCCTTTCTGGGGGTATCCAGGCTGACCAGTGAGAGTTAAGCAATGGACATAGTTATTAGCCTTGGTCATATGTAGCGGGTTCCTACCTCAGGGGTTCATTTTGCTTTGCTAATTCACAGTGCACACTTCAGGGTCTTTCACATATACCAATTACTTAAAGAATCACATCCCTGCTCGTCAGATGGCTTTGTGCAAATGAATTTCTCAACCAAGAGCTGCAAGTTTTTTCTTTGTATATGGCTTTTATTTGCATAATAAATCCAGGCATGTTATCTAGAAAGTCTGTGTAGCTGTTAACAGGCTTTGGAGCTTGGGTGGTAGCCTGTGTAATCCAGATCCTCGCTTTGGAAGGCAACTTTAGATCTGAGGGCAGTGTTCTCTCCCTTCTGCTTTGGGAATGATCCAAAGCTGTACTGAACTGGAGCAGCATCAGCCTTGAGCTGTTATATTTTTGTATCTTGTCTGCTTGGCAGTAGATGGGAACAGAGCAGAACATGTTCTTTCTCTCCCTTCGCTTCAGTGCTCAACCTCCTTCCACTTGGAATCATGTTACTTAAAAATGGTACTTTTTCTCTTCAGGCCGGAGGACGTTTCCCCGGATACGGCGTCACCAAGGGAATCTCTTCACCTTGGTGCCTTCCAGTCGTTCCTTAAGCACCAACGGGGAAAACCTGGGCCTGGCATTGCAGTACCTGGACCCCCGGGGCCGCCTGCGCAGCGCCGACAGCGAAAATGCCCTTGGTGTGCAGGAGAGGAACATTCCCACCAAATGTAAGTAGGAGTCATCCTGGTGGTAACTGGGGAAAGGCCTCCTGAGGTTAGAGGCAAGAAGGGCTTCTAGAGATGAACTCCACACCCAGTATATAACCAGAGCTTGATTTTAACAAGCCATTCAAAAACACATAGAATCAAAGTCAAAGGAGGTGATCCTGTCCCTCTACTCTGCGCTCGTGAGACCTCACTTGGAGTATTGTGCACAGTTCTGGTGTCCTCAACATAAAAATGACATGGAGCTGTTGGAGCAAGTCCAGAGGAGGCCACGAGGATGATAAGAGGACTGGAGCACCTCCTGTATGAAGACAGGCTGAGAAGGTTGGGGCTGTTCAGCCTGGAGAAGAGAAGGCTGTGTGGAGACCTCAGAGCAGCTTCCAGTGTCTGAAGGGGGCCTATAAGGATGTTGGGGAGGGACTCTTTGTTAGGGACTATAGTGGTAGGACATGGGGTAATGGGTTTAACCTTAAACAGGGGAAATTCAGGTTAGATCTAAGGAAGAAGTTCTTCACAGTGAGGGTGGTGAGGCCCTGGAGTAGGTTGCCCAAGGAAGTTGTGAATGCTCCAACCCTGGCAGTGTTCAAGGCCAGGCTGGGCAGAGCCTTGGGGGACATAGGTTTGAAAAAAAAGGGAGGTTTGAACTAGATGATCTTAAGGTCCTTTCCAACCCTGACCATTCTATGATTCTGTGATTAAATTAGACATGGCAGAGCTCATCTTTCAGCTCTTCTATATCTTCACACTGTCCAGATGGCTGGTTCCTGTCTTCATTTTTAGAGTTTCTTGTTAGATGCACCATCATTGGCTGCATTGCACTGCACAAGGCTGGTAGTGTCCTTCCAAAGTTAGAACTAAAGTACTGGTCTCTGCAGAATGTGCTTTGGTATTAAGTGCAGTCTGGAAACCTGGGCCGAGGTGTTAATCTCTGGGTCAGGAGACCACTGCTTGTGCAGTGCAGTAGAACAATGAGAACTCAGCATTCCCTGCTGATGTAATATCCTGCTGGGGTATTGGACGTGACTGTTTTAGCTAGTCCTCATATAGATATTTATTAGAGTCTGACTGTTCAGCAGGTAAAGAAGATATCTGCACTGTGCTTGCATTATGTCTCCTACTTTATCACTCTCTAGTAGGGAATTATGACTTCTAATTTTTCTGCTAGAGAGATAGCCTTGCAGTGAAATCCTTCCCGCTGCAAAATACCTTTTCCAGTCTCAGTATGATGGAGATTGATCTTTGAAGAGCTCTCCATTATCTTTAAATAGTCTAATGAAAAGAGAATTTACTACTGTTCTATTTCAGCTCCGAGTGCTCCAATAAACTGGCGACGAGGGAAGCTGCTGGGCCAAGGTGCCTTTGGTCGTGTGTATCTGTGCTATGACGTGGACACGGGCAGAGAGCTTGCAGCTAAGCAGGTCCAGTTTGACCCAGAGAGTCCCGAAACAAGCAAGGTAATTCTCATCCTGTAAGATCTTCCCAAGTGCCTGGATCTGTCTGTCCTCAAAAGCTGGCACCCTCCTTAGTTTATCCCGGGGTTTCAAGTCATGTGGAGAGGAGTAGGAGTCATGTTAAAATTACTTTTCTGTAATATTAACTTCAGCCTGAAACTAAAATCCATTTTCTGGCTTCATTTTTGGCTCTCCCTTCTCAGCTTTTTGGTTTGTTGCCAGGTTACTTGAGGAATACTAGACTGCCCTGTGTTCCTGGTTAGACATGGATGTGAATGAAACTAAACCCAGGAGAAGTAGGACTTTTTTTTTTTCCTTTTAAGTGAAAAAAGACTGAATGCACTTGGAAAACCCACATTCTGGGCTTACATGGCAGGCCCTGTATCAAGTGTGTTATTTACCTGTTTCCTCTTCTGAATTCTCCCTGTCCTCAAAACAAACTGAACTGTGGTGTGTCAATTCATCAAGAACAGGGATGTGACAGCACACTGGAAACAGTGGAGATGGCAAGGGGCACCTTGAAATTACAGGATAGCACCCAGTCCCTGCACAATGGATGCAGCTGGAATGGCTGTTAGGTTCTTTGTTAGTGGTTTAACAATGTACCCGTTTCCCAGTGTTGAACAGATTCACTTTGAGCTGGAATAACTGATCTGTGAAGATTGAATAATTCTCATTTTATATGGGAAATCGGTGCCAGGTCCTAACTTAGTGAGTTCTACCATGTCTCTGTTGTAAATCAGACAGTAACTCTGAGCCAGAGAAGAACAGCCTGGAATGTTCACTGAAACTCCAAACCTTAAACTATCAGTTTGCCCAATTAAGCAACTTCCTCTGGTTCCACACATCTCTGCAGCAGCCAGGTCCTTGCTCTTGAAGAGCTGCATTCTCTCCCAAAGGGAGAGAAGTGAACCTGGGACCTTCCAGTAGCCAGAGTGGAGAGAGGTAACTCGGACTAATTTGGGGGAAACCATCATTCTTTTTTCCATAAATCCTCATGCTCTGGTATCTTTGATATTCATCCTATTCATTCCCTGGATTCGGGAAGAACCTGATACTTTTCCTGTGCAACAAATGTCTCTGCTTCAGTCTGGAATTGTTGGATAGCCTTGTTGTCTGTGTGCTATGATACCCTGTTTTCTGTGGCAAGAGTAAAGCAAAGAATCAGTATCATATGCAATAGGTGCAGATTGTGTGAAGTAAACAAGAGAGGAAGCAGTTTCTGAGTTGATTCAAGTAAAACCATCAATGGGAATTGGAACGGGACTGGGAGACAAATGTTTAGGAGCTTTTATCACCTGTAGTCTTGCTGTCTTCCTTGCTTGGGTTGAGGTTCCTACAGAAGGTTTCCAGGCAATGCTGTAACTCTGCATTCAGTGCTTTTGCATAGTGGAAATTAACACTCAGTGTCCTCAGCTTAGTGGTGAGAAGGAAGTTTGTAGCTGTGGTGTGCGTGAAGAACCATTCAGCCACAGAATCAAGACAAGAAGCAGCTTTTTCTGGTACTAAATCCATTTCTGGATGGTATGGATTCTGGATTCTAGATGGTTCTGACTATCAAAGCATCTGCACCAATATTTACCTGCTTATTATACAGTAAGGATTAATGTGAAACATCGGCAATGTTTGCCCGCTCCAAGAAGTAGGTGAGCCAATGCCATGGATTAGACTTCTTCAATGTAGTGCTGGTCCCATGCTGTCAGTGACATGGACAAATTTATGAGGATGGAATATTTCTGGGGCCACAAGCTTATTTTCTCCTTCAACATCCATAGGAAGTGAGTGCCCTGGAGTGTGAAATTCAGCTGCTGAAGAACCTCCAGCACGAACGTATTGTTCAGTATTACGGTTGCTTACGGGATCGAGCAGAGAAGACCTTAACCATCTTCATGGAGTACATGCCAGGGGTAAGTGCTGACACAAGCAGTACAGTCACACCTCATGAAGTGGGTTTATCACTTGGTGTGATCACCCTGACTATGTAATCCACCTAATACCCTCTTAGTTATGCCCCTTTCTTGTGCTGGGTTGTAAACATAGAATCACAGAATGGTTTGAATTGGAAGGGACACCTTCCACTAGAGCAGATTGCTCCAAGCCCCTGTGTCCAACCTGGCCTTGAACACTGCCAGGGATGGGGCAGCCACAGCTTCTCTGGGCACCCTGTGCCAGTACCTCACCAGTTCTCTTAATTAGTCACTAAAGCCAGTTCCTTTCTTCAGTCTAAATTTGTTCTACCAAAGTACTTCAAAGGACTTGGGCCAACTTGTAAATCAGGCTCAAAGAATTAGCAGAGTCATTTAGTGCAGCAAATTAGGCTAAAAGCGACCCTGCAAAAGGGAGGGTTTTGATCTGGCTCAGTCTGCTGAA